ACGATGAAGGGAAGGAACATGACTGTAAAGATGAAAATTCAAGAAGATTTTAAGGGGCGCCTGAGTGGCTCAGTCGGTTAAGCGTCTGCCTTCAGTTCAGGTCATGATCCCAGGGCCCTGGGATCGAGCCCCACATCAGGCTCACTGCTCAGTGGTGAGCCTGTTTCTCCCTCTCCCTCTGCCTGCCACTCTATCTGTGCTCTCTATCTCTCTGTCAAATAAAATCTTTAAAAAAAAATAAGATTTTAAAAAAGCAATCGATAAGAAGTTGGTTGAAAAAAGAATGAAAAAATTAAAAAAAAAAGGATGTGATCAGGCGCGAGACTAGGACAACGTCATGCACTAGATTTAGGGTACATTTTAGTCTGTTAGAAGACACTGCATCCCAAAATTTTAAAGAAAGAACAACTTATATATACACAAAAAATAAGGTTAAATACAATGAAGGGATAGAATATGACTATAAAAATGAAAGTTAAAAAAGATTTTAAAATAGGAATTGATAAGATACTGGTTGAAAAAGACGAAAAATTCAACTAAAAAAATAGAAAAAGAAAATTAAAAAAAATTAAAGCTGAAAGACTAAAAAATCATGGGAAAAAAGCCATGAATTCTATGTGCTGTATTCCTCTAGCGCTGGAGTTTTGCAGTTCTCGTTTATCGGTAAACTTGGTCTTGGCTGGATGTTCTTGCTTATCTTCTGGGGAGGGGCCGTTGCAGTGATTCTCAAATGTCTTTGTCTGAGGTGGAACTGCACCGCCCTTGCCAGAGGCCAGGCTAAGTAATCTGCTCGGGTTTGCTCTCAGTAGCTTTTGTTCTCTGAAAGCTTTCTGTACAGCTTCTGGATGACGAGAGTGAAAATGGCGGCCTCGCAATCTCTGGTCCTGGAGGAGCCAAGAGCTCGGGGCCCCACTCCTCGGTAAGCTCTCACAGAAAAGCAATCACTCCTGTCTGCCTGGTCTCCAGCCGCACTCTGGGCTCACCTGGCCGGTGACCGAGCATTTCTATCTCTGGCACATGGCCCCGTTTGGAGTCTCCCCGGGGGAGGAAGGGGATTCTCCCCGGATCTGCTGCTTGTTGGGTCCCTGCTCAAAGAGCAATGGCCCAACTGTGCCGTGGATCACAGGTTATGGCAACCCCGAGAGCCCACTTCTTGGCTCCATCTTTGCAGCTGGCTTCCCCGCTCCAATGCCTGGGAGCTCTGTCACACTCAGGCACCCCTGGTCTTTCTGTGACCCCAGAGTCCTGAGACCACACTGTCCCAGCGAGGGTTCCACTCCCCGCTTAGCCACTGGAGCAACGTCCCTCAGCAGAGCAGACTTCTAAAAGTTCCGATTTTGTGCTCCACTGCTCTATCACTTGCCGGTAGCCGGGTGATGGAGGCTCCCTCTCTATCTTCTCGCCTCAGATTCACTTCTCTGCACATCCTACCTTCCAGAAAGTGGTCACTTTTCTGTTTGAAGAAAAGAATAGCAGCAATTCTACGATCTCCTGTTGAGTTTGTAGGTGTTCTGAATGGTTTGATAACTATCTAGCTGAATTCCTGGAACCAGACGAAATTTAGGTCTCCTACCCCTCTGCCATCTTGCTCCTAGACTATGTGATTTTAAAACACTTGTTCTGCATAGGGATCCGAAGGGGCATGTGCACCCCAATGTTTATAGCAGCAATGTCCACAATAGCCAAAACAGGGGAAGAGCCCAGATGTCCATCAATAGATGAATGGATAAAGAAGTCGTATATACAGTGGAATTATTACTCAGCCCTATCAAAAAGAATGAAATCTTGCCATTTGCAATGACGTGGATGGAGCTATAGTGTATTATGCTAAGCAAAATAAGTCAGAGAAAAGACAAGTATCTTATAATTTCACTCATATGTGGAATTTAAGAAACAAAACTGATGAACATAAGGGAAGGGATGGAAAAATAAAATAAGATGGAAACAGAGAAGGAGACAAACCATAAGAGACTTTTAACTATAGGAAACAAACTGTGGGTTGCTGGAGGAGAGATGGGTAACTGGGTGATGGGCATTAAGGAGGGCACTTGATGTAATGAGCACTGGGTGTTATATGCAATATGTTAAATATATATGTATATAAATATATATGTTAAATTCTACCTCAGAAACTAATGATGCACTATATGCTAATTAAATTGAATTTAAATAAATAACACTTGTTTTAGAATCACCTTAAACTTTGCCTAGTTGTTTAAAAATGACATGGGACCAAATTCCAAAACTAAGAATGGAGGGGGAGTTAAACATGAATTACTATAGGTACTATTACCAAGTGTAAGAGAGTCAAATGCAAACCTATGGTCAAAAGAAATGCAAAAAAAGAAATGATACTGCATCAGGAAATCTAATCAAGGAGGAAATATTTTAACTGGAAAAAAGAAAACTATTCAAACTACAAAGTAATTATCAGAAATTCAAGCGGGGGGGGGGCAGTAGTGGAACTATAATTAAAGCAACACTCAGGGGCACCTGGCTGGCTCAGTCAGTAGAGCATGCAACTCTTGATCTCAGGGTTGTGAGCTCGAGCCCCAAGTTGGGTATAGAGATGGCTTAAAAATAAAATCTTAAAAAAAAAAAAAAAAAAGCAACACTAGTTTTGTTTCCTCATCTGTGGCTTCTTGTTTAATTCAGCAAATTCTTTGCCAATTGGTTTATTAATATCTGAAGTGACCACATATCAATTTAATAAAATAACTTTCTATCTTCAACATTAAAAACCTCAAGAAAGAACTTACTCCTAGGAAGGTGGTACTTACAAAAAAAGAGTATTAAAGATTTTGTACATTACCCTTTTGTTTGTGAAACCGTAACAGAAATTCACCAGAAAACTCCCCCATGAATTCTATATGGTAGTACTATCATAAACAGTCAGTAGTACTATTATAGTAGCCAAAACACTGAAGTCCTTCTGTTATTTTTTCTCTAAAAGACTCTTGGTTTTGGGGCACCTGGGTGGCTCAGTCGTTAAGCGTCTGCCTTTAGCTCAGGTCATGGTCCCAGGGTCCTGGGATCAAGCCCCGCCTCGGGCTCCCTGCTCGGCGGGAGGCCTGCTTCTCCCTCTCCCACTCCCCCTGCTTGTGTTCCCTCTCTCGCTGTGTCTCTCTCTGTCAAATAAATAAAATCTTTAAAAAAAAAA